GAGTACCTCAAGGCAGAGCCAGGACTAGCTCTTGGTAGTCAAGCATTGAAGATGACTGCCACTGTAGAAGTCTCCTACCCATTTGAAGTTCACTCTAAATGCCTCAGGATTGAGGAGCACGCAAGATCACTGGCAAATCTCAACTATTCAATGTGGCTGGCAGGTGGTAACTTGCCTGCCAGTTCTAGGCAGTGGTGCAGTGAGGATGTCATGCACACAGAGGCAAAAGCAAAATTTGCACCCCCCCTCCCCCCAAACTCTGGAGCAGCTGGACAGTTATGTGGCTGTAGCCCTGGGGAGTCAGGGATAGCAAAGAGCTGACCTGCTGAGCCTTCCCCATCCTGTCCTCCACTCCCAGCAACAGCTCACCTTCCATCAGTATGCTGCTGCACAACTCTGCAAAGGAGGTGAGCAGGCAGAGAAAAGTTAACACAATTTTTAGCAGCTAAATTGGCTCCCCCCCTAGTGTGGCACTTGTGGGTAACTGCCCTTCCCATCCCTCCTCGCTACGCCACTGGTCCTAAGTATCTGGGGAAAAACAACCCCACAAGGAAAATGTCTGTCTGGATCTGTGCAAGTGTTTTCACATGAAAAAACTTCCACAAGGAAAATGTAAAGTAAATGGGGAGGCAAGTATCATTAAAGACCTAGCAAAACAGCATGAGAAGGGAACTAAGAATTCCTAGATATGGGGCCCTATATAAAGTCCTGCCTGGTGTAATCTGTTCTGAACAGAGCAGGAAATGAGGAGCCTGATGACTGACTACTGTGTATAGGAAGGGGGTGGTGCTAAGCTGAGAAACACCAAGCAAAGTTTCATTTGACTAATAGGGGGTCAGTTCCCTGTGAAACTCTTGAACAAAGAAGGGGTTGCGTGGGAGGTAGGGATGCAGAACAGGAAATTCCACTTGGCAGCTCATAGAAACTAACTGAGAGCTCTCTTCCTTGTTGCCCTCCACTCCATCCCTGCTGAGAGTGTAGCTGTCTCCTTGCAGATAACAGGTTTTGGTTCTGATAGTGTTCATGCTCTTTCACTGACAGCTTTTTTTTTTTGGTCATTTTGTGGGGCCACTCCCTTCCTCTCTTTCGGTAACAGCTTTGCTGAATTGTTTTCTTGTGACGGAACAGTTCTGGAATGATGATGTCACACTTATTGGACTGTCTCCTACTGAAATATGTTCAAATTAGCTTCTCTATGCACCTTGTGCTGTGGATTGAAAATTAGCAGGGTAATGACTCTAGTGGGACAGACTCCTGGGTAATACTGATACGGACAGACACCTAGATAACTGTTTCAATGGGTGCCACTGGGGTGGGTCTGATCTCTAGAGAATTGTGTAGTTCAGCACAGGACTGGTGGCCTGTTGTATGGATGGTGTCTGGCTTTGTTACAAACTTGTTTGTGCAAGCTTAGGTAAGTCACATTGGTCTGGGATATTGGGGATCTGTTTTAGTAACGCCCCTAGGTGCTAAGCTCTGTACAGACTAGGGATGTTAAATATCAGTTAACTGAATAGTTGATAAACCTCATGAATTCTTCTTGGTTATTGGACTATATTCTATAGTATCCAGGGGTGGGACCCGCAGCCAGTGCTCTCCAGCCCGACTCCCAAGGAGCCCCCCACCACTCTGCTCTGCTGTCTCTGTATCAGATGCAGCAGCGCAGGCAGAAGCTGGTCCACAAGGGGAGCCAGTTTAAAAGACAGTCCCCTTTGCGGACCAGATGCCTGTCACCCCACACTGCTGCTGCCTCTGATACAGAGGCAGCAGTGCTCGGTGGCAGCAGCCCCCCTGTCCACGGTGGGTGTGAACTCCTGGACCCAGTGCGAGCCAGGCTGCTTGCCTGCCTAGCACTTTAAATGCAGAACTGCAGAAGCAGTAGGTCCTTGACCTGGCATGAGTCAGGACTGAGCCAGGCTGCTGGCCAGCCTGCTAAAAAAATTTCTGATGCTGGGGGGTGGAGAGGAAATGTGTATAGTCTATAGCAGGGGTGTCCAAACTTTTTTCAAAGAGGGCCAGATTTGATGAAGTGAACATGCGTGAGGGCCGACCATTTTGCCTGACATTCTTTGAACCATTAAAATTAAATGCAAATTAACTATTTTATGCAAAGTTTATTGCAAACGGCATACTTTTCATTTTGTCACATGGATGACAAATCTAAACAGGTGTTAAATCACTCTGCCTTTCATATCTGAAGGCCAGATGAAAAAAAATCCAGGAAGCTGAAATATATGTCAGGAACATTGTAAAGTACATTACATATTATTGGTAATAAAGGTTGTCTGTCAACTTTTAAGTTAAAAAAATATGAACAGGAACATAACACCAAGTATACATGTTGTGTCCAAATATATTTATAACTGATTTAGACCAACTGACATTAACTGAGATTTTACAATGTATTCATATCAATACATATGGATTTGTTGGGGGCCATAAAAGATAGATATTGCCAAATAACCTGGGGGGCCGTATTAAACCGGAACACGGGCCACAATTGGCCCGCGGGCCGGACTTTGGACATGCCTGGTCTATAGCATTAACCTATTGGCTTTTGCTTTTTGGTTAAATGGTTAATTGACTACACTGTTACTTCTCCAGTACAAATATGGAAGAGACTATTCCTGCCCCAAACACCTGACGGTTGATGTACCTCTCTGCCTTCATTTCTGCCACTTGCTTACCCCATTCCAGTGGAGGTCCCCATCTCATTTGGCACTTGCTCGTCTTTGGAGCCAGAGACTCAGGCTCTCAGAGCATAATATAAAAGTGTGTGTGTGTGTGGGGGGGTGTTCCTGGCAAGACTCTGCCATTGGGGCTGGAAGCCATAATGCCCATCATACTGTATTTATAGCTCTGATTACTTTTCAAGGACAATAGGCACTATAAAGGTGCAGTAACACCTCTAGAAACTGTGATTGCATCAGCAAAAATGACCGGTACTATGACAAAGTGCAAAGATGACTGGGTGGAGCTATGGGCACAGAACAAACCTCCTCCCTGCTTTGCTATTCCTTGGAATATTTTATATCAGCCACCTCATGCTTCCTCAGTTAGGCTTCCTGCGTCTGCCTGCTGACTGAATAGGTCACTTCCAGAGATGGATTCCTGTTCTGTGCCTGGCGATGGTGCTTAGGCGAACAAGGACTCTGTTCCCTTTCAGAGGCAAAGAAGAGTCAGTGGGGCTTGCAGGGAAGCTAAATGGCAGCAGCCTCTGATACTTGGCCCAGTCAGGTCAGATGCCGGGCATGTTATCTGCTACAGGAATGGAAAACCCTGCGAAATCTCAAAATTGAACTATTCTAAAAATAACTTGGAGTGGTCATAGTCGCAGGCCTGCGAGTTTCTTTGAGGCTCGAAATTCTTGCTGTTAGGAACTCTGACTAAGACACATTGTGTCACTTCATTCAGACACTCATTCTTCCAGAGATCAATCTGGCTTGTTGCTTAACCATGCCTCTGAAGCATCTGAGAAATCTGGGCTTGTGACACTCTTTTCTGTATGGCATATAAAGCAGGTCTGGAAAGATCTGTCTTCCTCCAACCCCCCCCTGCTTTGTACTTTTACCTTACTTAGTTGGGGATGTCAAGTATCGACCCCCTGCCCTCGGTTTTGCTGCAGGACTTTTAGAGGTCTCAGGCATTTGCTATGAGTTGTGTTAAGTGCAAGGCTAAGAATGTGGAACCTTTAACAGAGGCATCCTTTGTCCAAAATATTAGTCATAGATGCGGTGGGCCATGTGGTCTGCCTGCCTCCTCTCTTTGGAGATTCCCCTCCCTGAGGCAGAACCACTAGTTTGAAGACACTTCTGTTTGTTTGGGCTCTCTTTCCATGCATCGGAGATGAAAATCAGGGGTGGGCAAATTCCAGTCTGCAGGGTTATTCCCTGGCGGGCCACCGCTGCTTTGTTTACCTGCGGCTTTGCAGGTATCGGATGATTGTTGCTCTTGTTGGCTGCAAATCGCCATTCGCAGCCAATGCAAGTGTGGGAAGTGGTGCAAACTGGGTCGCCGCTTCCCACCACTCGCATTGGCTGCGGTTTGCAGACCGTGAGAGCTGCGATCGTCTGATACCTGCAGAGGCCCAGGGAAACGGAACGGAGGTGGCTCCCCAGGGACTAACTCTGGTGAACTGCCAGGGGTGAATTCTGGTATCTTGTCTTTCTGTTGTAACTGCTTTGGGGTGGGGATGTTAGCAGGTAAGATAAGCATCACCCTTCTGGTTAACCAGTGATGCAGGCCTCAGTGCAGTGTGGTGGAGCCTGGCCTGGTGCAGTTGGTTCGGCTCTGCCGGGCCAGAACAGCTCCTGCTTGTCGGTAATGTGGTGGGCCCGGCCTGCGCAGCTCCCTGTAGGGTTGCCGGATGGTTTCAACATACCAGACACACTTGTCATTACATCACAATCTACATTACATCTTATGTAGAAAATACCGGACATTTATATTTTCTTGACTTATTTCCGGAACAGAGAGCTCAAATACTGGACTGTCCGGTTCAAAACCGGACACCTGGCAACCCTAGCTTCCTGCTCACAGCAGGGGGCTGCTGCAGCCCATCCAGGCTACACCGACCCTGGGCCCTGCCCACCCACTGTTTAAGCAGTTAATCGTAATATTTAGCGGTTAACTGATTGAGATTTTACATCCCTACTTTGGGGCAGGGACTGTCTTCTGGACATGCATGGTGTCTGGTGTAGTGGAACTTTGCTCTGGCCTTAAGGCTACCGAATGCAAGCATTTAGCTTTTGTCTTAATAAAAGCCAAAGCTCAAAGCAGTCCGACTAAAAACCTCTTTCCCATAATTGCGTGTAGGCCCTTGACAGCTACTGTAAGCTTATGATTTTGAAGAAAATTAAGTAGAAAAGAATGTTTTGAAGTTGCTGCACTTTACTAGAAGATCTGAGGTTTAGCTTAACAGCTGGTCTGCTGGTTCTGGATCACGGGCTTACGTGGTTTGTAAACAAACATTTTAATGGCATGTTTTTTCCTTCTTCTAGGGTCCTTGATATCAGCCCAGATGAGCTCCAAAACCATTCAGGTCCCTGAGAATGAGGGTAAGTGGGGAGTGCTAAATTAATAGATTCATAGCTCTTCCCTGAATTAATTCCTGCTCAAACTAGAGCCAATCTTCTTTTAAAAAAAATCCGTTGACTTTAAAAATTGCCAGTGATAGAGAAGTTGTGTTGGTTGCTGCCCTGTGCAGTCAAGATGCAGTTTTGCCCATTGGGCTTTCCCAGTTGGAGAATGATCTCTGGATGAGAGCTGGTCAACACTGAACACTTTCCCCTGCTGTAGCTACAGCTCTCTGGGGGTGTGAAAATCCACTTTTCCGGAAGTCCTAGTTATGCCAACAGAAGTCCTGGTGTAGGCCCTTGATGGTTCCAATGATTAATCACTCTCTTAAAAACACACATACTGTGAACAGCTCTGGTTTTTTCAGCCATTGGTGCTTGTTCTGTCTTTCTTTCCCTTGAGTTAAGAACCATTTATATATATATATATTTGAGTAAAGAACTATATATATATATATATATAT